ACATGATGAAATAAATATATAAATATTGAAGTGACATGATTGAAGAGATCAACATGATTGGTTTATAGGTTGTTCGGAGTGGAGGAGTCATATGATTTCAACGTTTCACGCCAAAAAGCGCTTCCTCAGGAAATGGAAGATATTGGTTAAGCAGGTTGGTACTTGTGCACTCAGAAGACCCGTCTGGGCAGAACCCCAAGATTCAGGGGGAGACAGGAGCAAGGATCAAAACCCCAATAGCAGGCAGTAGGAGGTGGAAGTCACACCAAAGGGAAAAGGAGCCCACAATTGCTCACTGTCACTTCAATAAGGACCCACCACAGCCAGAGATCGAGAAGAGAGGCTCCCAGTGCTTCACAATGTCCTGAGCCCCCAGCGTCAAGCACAGCCGCCCCAGAGCCGCAGGGAAACAAAACTTTTAAAGTCTATCTAAAGACTATCTTTTGTTTCGGCGAGCACCCATTGGCTAGAAGGGCGAGACGCTCCATCGCGGGGTTTTTGTCACAACAGCTTTATTCAAGTGACATTAAACTCAGGAATTAAATCTTAAAAATACAATCAAGTACCTTAACTATTAACAAAAATGGGGGGAATTCATCAAAACTGGAGCAGACAAATTCTGGAAAGGAATTGCACTGCAACCAATCAGCTTCTCAGTCTCAATTTCAAACCTTACCTGAGCAAACTGAAGAGAGATGTCGATTGGTTGCCATGGGCAACTGCTCCAGTTACAATAAATTCCCCCCCAATGTATCTTATTTGTGTATCACTCGGCTGTAGATCCTCCAATCATCTCTGAATTGGTGCTGACACTGTCCTTCCTTCTGTCCTTCCATGTTCCCCATGGTCCCTGTGTGTGTTGTAAAGTAGCCACCGCTCTTAGCTCGCTCCTGTGATGGACTACAATCTCATGTTTAGTTTACTAATTTGTTTTGAGATTGTAGTCCATCACAGGAGAGAGCTTGAAGCGGTGGCTACTTTACAACACACACAGGGACCATGGGGAACATGGAAGGACAGAAGGAAGGACAGTGTCAGCACCAATTCAGAGATGATTGGAGGATCTACAGCCGAGTGATACACAAATAAGATTCATGTTTGTTAAAGCGGACCTTTACCCCCTTTCGCTAAAAATCACAGCAGCATGCAGCTCTGGATGCTGTTTTAAAATCCTGTTACATTCATTAGTTAAACAAACGTGTTTTTATTTTACTTACAAATAGAGTTTTTCCACTTCCTGGTCCACTTTGGCACAAATGATGTAATGTTCCCAAGTATGGCATCCTAGGATGATTACATCAGCAGAGCATTACTGGAAAATCTCATCTGTAATCTCAGGGAAAGGCATTTTCCTCCCCTGAAATGATCTGCATGGTCACATGACTAGTCACATGTGCCAGAGTTCCAGGAAGTAAAGGAAGGTCTAGTAACCTGCCCTTAGTTAACATGGCCACTGTCAGAAGACTGGGGAAGGAGAAAAAAAAATCAGGTATGCAAAGCCGGCAATTATCTAGAAGTAAGTGTTTGTAGCTTGTCATCACTAAACATTTCTAATAGTTAGGGTACAAGAATACATGTTCGATGTTTCTCTCCTGACTTTAGGGTCACTTTAAGGCATACAGGAAACACAGTATCAACCATGCCAACAAAAAGTTTCTAAAGAGTACATCAGCAGTGGGAAGCTGGGAAGTGGAGGAAAAGGAGGGGAGGTGAAGGGTAGGTAGAGGGGAATATATGTAGAGTAATTCAGGGGCCAAAGTGGGTACTGGACTGGGTCCTAGGTAGGGGGCCTCTCTCAGGAGGAGGCTTGTGTTCCCAAGGGGTAGATTGACTATTGCCCCCGGGACTAAACGGAATGGGAAATGTTTGGGCTTTAGATAAAATTAAAATATCTTTAAATATCTAAAATTATCTTTAGTTACCGTAACTGTGTAATACATATAGGGATGCACTGAAACAGATCGGCCGAAAATAGTACTTTTGGCAAAATGTCGAAAGTGTTATCTTTTGGCCGAAATGGCAGAGCAGCCCTGATTTCTCTCCTCCCCGCTGGGTGCTGCTCTGTGTCCCCTCTACGTCCAGCAGGGAGGAGAGAAAACTGTCACAGGAGGCCGAGCAGTGCAGGGGAGGAGAGCGCTGTGAGCAGCCGGCATCTCTCCTCCCGCACCGCTCAGCCTCCTGTGACAGATCAGGAGAGCGGTGTGGGGGGGTCAGCTGTCACAGGAGGCCGGGACGGCGCTGCAGGGGAGGAGTCAGCTGTCAGATCGAACTCTCCTCCCCGCTCGCTCAGCCTCCTGTGCCAATTGATTCAGGATGGAGAGCGGGTACAAGCAGTCAGTGACCGCTGAGTTACATAGTTACATAGTATTTGAGGTTGAATAAAGACATATGTCCATCACGTCCAACCTATTTGTGTATGTGTGTATGGTCCTATTGGCGTGTAGTACGTATAGGTCCCTGTGTGATCTCATCTTTAAAAGTGCTTGTACCCCTGTATACTACGGTCCCTGAGGAAATCGTCCAATCGTCTCTTGAATGATTCCACACTCTCAGCCGAAATCACAGCATGTGGCAGCGAGTTCCAGACCTTGACTGATCTAACTGAGAAGAAACCGCTTAGCCCCTTGTGCTGAAATTTTTTCTCCACCAATTTTAAGTGGTGGCCTCTCGTCCTTGTCATGGAGTTAATTGTAAAGAGTTTGCTGCTAATGTTACTATCCCCGGTAAACATTTTGTACATGAAAATAACGTCCTGGCGTCTCAGTATACCGCGAGCTACATATACTGAGCCTAGGGTGACGGGAGGACGCTAGTTTGTGTCCTCCCGTTACCCTAAGGAGAACTATGGGGAAAAACACTGACCCCATAGTTCTCCTTTAATCTCCTTACTTCCAAGGAGAACATGTTTAGATTTAGAAGCCTGTTCTCATAGCTCAGGTCCTCCACCCCCTTTTTGGAGTTTGGTTGCCCTCCTCTGGACTCTTTCCAGTTCAAGGACATCCCCCCCTGTTAACTGGTGCCCAAAACTGGACCGCATACTCCAGATGTGGTCGTACCAGTGATCTATATAGTGGCACAATTATAGACTTGTCCCTGCAAAGTATTCCCCAGTGTTTGTACATAATTGAGGATATGGTATGGTTACTATATCCTCAATTATGAATGAATGGGAGTGATCTATATACCCTCCTGTTCATTCATGATTGTGGTTATAGTAAACATACTCTGTCCTCATGTTATGAATGAACTGGAACAATGGGAGGAATTTATCAAAACCGGAGTAGACAAAATCTGGAGCAGCTATGCATGGCAACCAATCAGCTTCTCTCTTTAGTTTGTTCAGTTAAGATTTGAAACTGAAAAGGTAGAAGCTGATTGGTTGCCGAGCACAGCTGCTCCAGATTTTGTCTACTCCGGTTTTGATAAATTCCTCCCACTCAGTATGGAGGATTCCTGTTCATTGATAACAGGGGCTGCAGGAAAAGAGATTGAGGATAGGGGTCTGTTTGCACCTTTGATATTTCACCAAAGCCCCTAAAAAAATAAAATATTTAATAGAAATAAAAAAAATGCCAAAAAATTTAGAAAAGGTTAGAAAAAGAAAAACATTTCACTTTCGGTCTGACATTTTTTTTTATTTTCGGTTTTGAAAATTTCCCTTCGGTGCACCTCTATTCTGTTCACGTGTGAGTGGTGTCAGCCCTGACCAGTTTTCTTTTGCTAAGCTGCCCATACTGTTCCAATCTCCCAATCTTGAATCCCTGGTCAGAACACTATTTGCATGGAGTTTGCAGGTTCTCCCTGTGCTTGCGTGGGTTTCCTCCGGGTACTCTGGTTTCCTCACACACTCCAAAGACATGCTGGAAGGGTAATTGGCTCCTGTATGTGAGATGGGGACCTTACATTATAAGCTCCTTGGGGGCTGGGACTGATGTGAATTTGCACTGTGTAAACTGTCAGCACTATAGAAAGACCTGTAACAAATATATAAAAATAATCATTCTGTAGTCCCCAATACAACAACTAGGAGGGCTGATTACTCCCCGTGACATAACTCAGGAAGTGCGTAGCAGACGCAGGGCAGCTCTGGATTTCTGGCAGGATCATCAGATTTTTGTCAGCACTCAACGTACAAATAGAACAAAACGCTTACAATGGTATATATATCTCACAGACCAAAAAAATGGGCAAATAAGAGAAGTTCATTGTTGGGGTTTACAGCTAAAAACATTCCAAATGCCTCCCCAAAAAATATGCCGACCTCTTATCACAGTGATAAGAGCTGGCCCGTGCAGATGCCCCCCCCGGGAAGGACAGGTGCTGCGTGTGATTGTACGCAGCAGCCTGTTCTTCTCATAGATGGATCCCGTCTGCCTCCGAGCACGGACACTCGCTTCAGGTTTGTTCTCTTCAAAAAGGCAGCCACAGCCTGAGTAGAGAAGTCTGCCAGCCCCCACCCCCCATGCTGCAGAAAAGGAGCCCTGCTCTCTGTGTGGAAGCAGTGGTCTCTCTGCAGAGGTTCACTGCAGGCTGTGCTGAGTCAGGGCTTTCCAATGAGCAGGGAATATGAGATTTGCCTCAGCAGGAAGCATGTCAGACCTCTGCGGAGAGACCACTGCTTCCTTATATTGACCAATGGTCGCATTTTGCAGTGCGCTGGCAGGGGACAAGCTTGGTAGTGCCTCTGAGGCCAGAGGTTCCTGCTAGCTCCGCAGCAAACCCTCCTCCCTTCACAGGGAAGCTGACTGCGCTCTGCATTCATTTATCTACATAAAAACTTCAAGCCATTAGAAGACAGGTCCTTGTGATCACTATACACAACACTGCACCCCCTCCCCCACCAAGGCCAGACTAGAAAAGGCCAGATTTGTGCACAAGTGACGTCACCCCTCCCAGCTTTCGTATGACACACGCCCCCCACCACCAAAACCCGGGGAGACCCTCCGGTGCAGCTCGCTGGAACGTCTAGTGTGGTTAGACTGTGATGCGCCGCCACTCACCATCGTCACCGCAGCCTCTGCTCCCGACACAACCCCATTCCTGAGTCGCCACAATCCCCTATTGCCGGAAGTGACCTCAAGCGCGGCTGACGTAACTTGTTGTTTACGCCCCCAGGAATTGGCTCACGGTGGTTCTCGCGATAAGTTGGGTGGTGGGGCTCCAGCGTCGCCATCTTTGTTGAGGGAAACAATTTAGCTAAAAGTGTTTGGCGATGGTAACTTAAAAAGAAAACGTGATTCTCCTGACTGTTTGATTTGGAATATTTTAATGATTCATGGGGCACCATGTTAGTTGGTGCTAGATATTGTAGTCTCTGTAATTTGCAATAAGTATAGTTATCATTAGAGAAACTTGGAGGATGTCTTCCAGACATCTGTATGTAAACATACTAGTTAACTGGGGGTTATGCAGACTTTCTGGCTTTAATAATTTGAGAAAGTATACAGATATGGCCTTAGGATTTTGCTTTGACTGCTTTCTTTCTACCACTGATGTCGGGCTTTCTGTCTTCCACTAACCATTGATGCCGGGCTTTCTTTCTCCCACTAACCATTGATGCCGGGCTTTCTTTCTCCCACTGACCATTAATGCCGGGCTTTCTTTCTCCCACTGACCATTAATGCAGGGTTTTCTTTCTCCCACTAACCATTGATGCCGGGCTTTCTTTCTCCCACTAACCATTGATGGCGGGCTTTCTTTCTCCCACTAACCAGTGATGCCGGGCTTTCTTTCTTCCACTGACCATTAATGCTGGGCTTTCTTTCTCCCACTAACCATTGATGCCGTGCTTTCTTTCTCCCACTGACCATTGATGCCGGACTTTCTTGCCCCCACTGGCCACTAAAGCTGTGCTTTGTTCCTTCCACTTACCACTGATGCTGGGCATTTTTCCTCCCACTTACCACCAGTCGTGGGGTGTTCCTCCCACTGAATACCTTTCCCAGGGCATTCTTCCTCCCACTGACAACCTTTTTCAGAGTGTTCTTCCTCCCACTGACCACCAAAGACAGGGTGTTCTTCCTCCCACTGACCACCAAGGCTAGGTTGTTCTTCCTCCCACAGACCACCTTTCATACAAGAGTTTTGCTGACTGAAAATGGACAACTGTGAATTGGCCCTCAGACTGAATGGGCAAGGTGATAGTGCCTCTTTAAAACAAGCCATTGCTTTGAGATGCATACATCTGTATTGTGCCATGGATGTCAATGTAGTTGGCTCGAATACAATGGTGGAAGAGCTCACACATGCCAGGGAAGGTGACAAACATTTTCTAAAAAGAATCTGGTAAGACGGGGACTGCTTAGAACTGTGTCTATGACTAAAAATGCAGAGTGTAACAGGATATACATGTCACTTTGGCTCTGAAACTTCATGCTTCAAAGAAATCACTGAGAACAAGTAGCATTTACACCGGCCATGTTGGATTCACCACCATACCCAGAAGGACCCAGGGGGGAAGAACTGCCCTCAACAACTGTTGGGGTTGTAGTTTGAGACCCAAAGTGACCCAAAGTAAAGCACTATGGGGTTATGGCCAATTCATAATACAAGGAAACATGGAAACCTTATTAGCTATGGTTGGCTAAAGGGACAAATATAATGTATATTGTTACCCTCTGCTCCTTCAAGTGACACTAAACTCAGGAGTTAAATCTAGAAAACACATTCAAGTATCTTAAAGGAGAACTATGAGGTGAGTGCTTTTCACTCACCTCATAGTTCTAGCTGACCTGTGACAATAAGACTGTCACAGGTCGGCTCAGTAGATCGGGAAGTGAGCAAACACATACCGGCGTTTGCTCACTTCTCGATCCTGTCACAGCTCTCTGCCGTGACAGGGGGAGGGCTGCATTCCCCCTCCCCGCTCCTCCAGCGCTGACTGGCGGAACGGACGGGGGAGGGGGCGGGTACATCTGGCTCTGCCTCTAGATAGGCAGAGCCAGCTGTCACTCACACAGCTGGGCGGATCCAGACATAATTGTCGGGATCCGCTTCAGCTGCGGCGTCTCAGTATACCGCGAGCTGTAGCTCACGGTATACTGAGCTTAGGGTGACGGGAGGAAGCTAGTTTGTGTCCTCCCGTTACCCTAATGAGAACTATGGGGAAAAGCCCTGACCCCATAGTTCTCCTTTAACTATTAACAACAATGTATCTTATTTGTGTATCACTCGGCTGTAGATCCTCAAATCATCTCTGAATTGGTGCTGACACTGTCCTTCCTTCTGGAGGGGGGCTACTTCTGTTCCCCATGGTCCCTGTGTGTGTTGTACAGTACCCACCGCTCCAAGCTCCCTCCCGTCATAGACTACAATCTCAATACAAATTAGTAAACTAGACATGAGATTGTAGTCCATCACAGGAGCGAGCTTGGAGCGGTGACTACTTTATAACATACACAGGGACCATGGGGAACAGAAGTAGCCACCCTCCAGAAGGAAGGACAGTGTCAGCACCAATTCAGAGATGATTTGAGGATCTACAGCCGAGTGATACACAAATAAGATACGTTGTTAATAGCTAAGATACTTGAATGCATCTTTAAGGTTTAACTCCGGGGTTTAGTGTCACTTTCAGTTAGAGTGACTGTTCTCATTATTCTGTGGTGCACCAGATTTTTCCCCTAGTATACTGTAGACATCTGAATTAAAGCACTGTCTGGTGATATACAATTCTCAATATGGGAAAGCATGCATACCTATTAGGTGTACTGTCCATTAGAGGACTTCATAAATCACAAAAACAGCTTTTGGAGATTTGCTGTTCACTCAGATCATCTTTATGATACAATCTTGAAATTATGATGGGGTTTAAGTGCATTCAGTTATGTCTCCACTTTCTGGCAATAAGAAAACTGTTAGTACTGTATGTCTAGGCTATTTAATCATAATTTACAGACGATTCCAGACATAGTAGCTCCCAGGTTCGCCCATAAAGAGCTGCATGTGGATGTCTGGGGCTCTACAAAGTCTGTCCTGCCAGGCACTGGCCTGAAGATCAAAATGAAGATATGAACATACCCTGGAGACAATGTTAATCATATCTGAAAAGGAAAACAAAAAGATCAGCCTGGATGAACATACCATTGTTATCTCTGTCTTTCTGTCAGTGCCTCTTTGTCTTCCTCATATGAGTATTAGGGATGTCCCGATACCACTTCTTCAGGACCAAGTACAAGTACTTCCTCTCATGTACTTGCCGATACCAATTACCGATACTTTTTCTTAAAGGGGCAGGTGACTTTAAAAGATCCATAGTACAACTACATGTTATGTACTATGGATCATGATTTAACCTATTCATGTTAGCAGGGGAGAATTGTAACTCTATTGCTGGAGTGTAGTGGAGGTGTGTGCTGTATATATGCACTACATTTACATTACACACGTCCAGTACACTATAGCAATAGATTTACAGCCAGCCCCATCCCAGCTTCCCTCACTCACAGTTTCACTCTGATGGTTTTTTTCTTGCATCAGTCTTTACCTGTTTTTATGTCTCTACATACAGATCTGTAGGGAGAAGTGAAGAAGGAAGGTGGGTGAAAGCGGGAGAAGAAAAAAGAAACATAGGAGAAGATAAAAAACATAAGGAGACTGGTGAACAGAGCCAAAGTAGAGAAGAAAGTGAAGAGAAGGAAAGATGGAAGAGAAAGAAGTTGGTGAAAGAAAGTTAAGAAAAGGTGGGGGGAGAAGGATAGAGAAGGAAACAGAAAACTGGAAAAGGGGGATGAGGGATGGCAGAAAGACAGGAAATGGATGGAAAGGTAAAGGATATAATGGAGAGAGTGTGGAGGGAAGAAGGAAACAAAGGGGAAGAAGAGAGAGAGAGAGAGATAGACAATAGAGGAAGGGAGCCAAAAGAGGAAAAGAAAAGAGAAAAGAGAGGAAAAGATGGAAGGACAAATTATTGGAAAGGAAAGAATGGATTGAGATAAGGAAGATAAAGATGAAAAGGAGGGATGGAAGGAAAAGAGGAGGAGAGAAGGAGGGAAGAATGAATGGTGGAAGTGAGGAAAGGGAGGGCACAAACAATAGATAGAGGAAAGGATATAAAGGAGAGAAGAAGCATAGGGAATAAAGTAAACAAGGGATGGAAAAGAAATAAGGACTGGAGGAAGCAACAGAAATATAAAGAAAGAAGAGAAGCAATGGAGAGGAAGATAAAAGAATGAGCTGTTGAGAGGAAAACAGGTGTGGGGATGTGAGATACAGTAGAAGAGGTGGCTAGAATAGCAAGTAATAGAAAGTCGGGAAGGCAGGAAGAAATGGAAGGAAGCAAAGAAGAAAGGAAATAAGGAAAGGAGTGATGGAGAAAAAATAGAGAACTAGGAAAAAATAGGGGATGGAGGAGAAAGGAAATGCAAAAATGAAAGGTAAAGGGAGTTAGAGGATGGAAGAAAGGGCGAAATGTAAAGAAAAGCATAAAGAGTAGGAAGGGAGCCACGGCTACCATCTAGGATAGACTACAAACATGTCTGTCTTTATTCATTTCCATCCATTGCATGGGGAATGGGGAGATTAGTAGTTTAGAGAGGAAAGATATATGGACGCATAGGATTTTCTTGCATATTACTGCAGACTTCTGGTAAAATCTGTGAGGTAATCACACCAGCAGAACATGACATGTCTGGGGACGTTCCGTAAGCTGTCTTATGATTGCCATATTACAATGAATTGTTTAAACGGTTTTAGAAAATTAGATGGCACTGGTACTGGCTGGCACTGGAAGAGGATGACACTGAAGAGCATTGGTACTGGCTGGCACAGTTACTAAATGACAGGTTCTGATTGGCACTGGATGACACAGGCACTGGGTGACATTGGTACTGGATGACCTTGGATCTAGCTGGCACTGGATGACACAGGTCCTGGCTGGCATTGGGAATGGATGACACTGGTAATGAATGACACTGGTTCTGGTACTGACTGGCACTGGCAGGGTACAGTTCTGGCCTGAAACCCGGATGTTCCTCTCTGAGCTACGGGTAGCGTGTAAACAGGCACAGGCTGCCCGCAGCTCAGAGGAAGATCCGGTTTCAGGCCGATCCGGTTTCTGCTTTAACACCCCCAGCCCCGCAGTGGCAGCTCCTGCCTTTCTACCACGACAGGTCCGCTTAGCATCCCACACAAAATATGGCGCCCCGAGCTTAGCGCTCCGTCACGTGATGGAAGACCATCCTGGAAAGTTGACGGAGGGCGCTCCCTGGTGTTGCTAGGAATCTACAACAGCCCTAAGACGAACACAAAGATGGCGCCCTGAGCTTCACGTTCCATCACGTGACTATAGGCCATGCAATAAAGCTGGCAGAGAGCGCCACCTGCCGCCCTTGGGAAAGTATAGCGGCCAGCTGGAAGTGAGAAGAGAATAGGGAAATGGCGGCCGGCGGCTGCGCCTGATCCGGAGGGAAGCCGGCTCTGATCCAGCGGGCGGTGTGAGGGAGCTGTGCATGCTGGGCGGCCCCGGGGCCGGGGAGAGTATAGGAGCTGGGACAGGGCCGGACGGAGCCGGACACCATGGTGAAGACCCGGCGGAGCCCCATGAAGGGCCCCGATGGGAAGTTTATCTCATCCCGGACCCGTTCCGGGCAAAGACGGCGTCTGGCGGCCAGAGCTCAGCTAAATAAGGTGAGGTCCCCCCCGTGTAATGTACTTCCCGGGGGCCCCCCCCGTGTAATGTACTTCCCGGGGGCCCCCAATAAATGTACTTCCCGGGGGCCCCCCAAGTAATGCTACTACCCGGGGCCCCCCTCTATCACCTCTGCTTATACATGTTTGATGACCTCATAGTGATGTAATGTATACACAGATATCACCTCTATATACTCGTGTGATGATCTCAGTGATGTAATGTATACACAGATATCACCTCTATATACACGTGTGATGACCTCATAGTGATACAATGTAATGTATACACAGATATCACCTCTACAATATACACGTGTGATGACCTCATAGTGATGTAATGTATACGGAGCTATCACCTCTATATACCCGTGTGATGATCTCATAGTGATACAATGTAATGTATACACAGATATCACCTCTATATACCCGTGTGATGACCTCATAGTGATGCAATGTAATGTATACACAGATATCACCTCTATATACCCGTGTGATGACCTCATAGTGATACAATGTAATGTATACACAGATATCACCTCTACAATATACACGTGTGATGACCTCATAGTGATGTAATGTATACGGAGCTATCACCTCTATATACCCGTGTGATGATCTCATAGTGATACAATGTAATGTATACACAGATATCACCTCTATATACCCGTGTGATGACCTCATAGTGATACAATGTAATGTATACACAGATATCACCTCTATATACCCGTGTGATGACCTCATAGTGATACAATGTAATGTATACACAGATATCACCTCTATATACCCGTGTGATGACCTCATAGTGATACAATGTAATGTATACACAGATATCACCTCTACAATATACAGTGGAATGTTCTATGTGGATATATATGTATATATTGTCCTCACACTGATGCAATGTATATGTATATATATAACCACATACCTTCTGACACCTCCTGTATAATATATGATCGTGTGTGTAATGTTCATGAAGTGTCTGAGCCGTCCATGTGTGATATAATATAGTATATACGGGGTCCTCACACTCTGTGTACACCGATCAGCCATAACATTCTTGTATTGATTATCTGGTTACAATGACCCCTGGAAGTGTGTGTGTGTGTGTGTCGATATATTGGGCAGGAAGTGAACATTTAGTCCCTGAAGTTGATGTGTTGGAAGCAGGTAAAATGGAGAATTTGAGGGACTTTGACCAGGACCAAATTGTGATGATTAGAGGACTGGGTCAGAGCAACTCCCAAACTGCAGCTCTTGTGGGATGTTCCCGGTCTGCAGGGGTCAGGACCGACCAGAAGTGGTCCAAGGAAGGAGAGCCGGTGATCTGGTGACAGTGTCATGGGTCAAGACTCATTGATAAACGTGGGGAGCCTGGCCCATGTAGTCTCATCCAATACAAGAGCCGGTTCTGATAGAAAGGTGTCTGAGCACACAGAGCGTCGCAGGTTGTGGTGTATGGGGCCATGTAGCTGTAGACCGGTCAGGGTGCAGACTCTCATGTTCACCTCCAAAAGAGCCCACAATAGGCACATGAGCATCAGAACTGGACCCCGGAGCAATGGAAGAAGGTGGCCTGGTCTGATGATTTAGGTTTTCTTGTACACCATGTGGATGGCCGGGTGCGTGTGTGTCACTTATCTGAGGAAGAGATGGCACCAGGATGCACTATGGGAAGAAGGGAAGCCGGCGGAGGCAGTTTGATGGTTTGGGCAATGTTCTGCTGGGAAACCTCGGGTCCTGCCATTCATGTGGATGTTACTCTGACACGTACCCCCTACCAAAACACTGTTACTGACCAAGTACACCCCTTCATAGAAAGGGTATTCCCTGATGGCAGTGGCCTCTTTCAGCAGGATAATGCGCCCTGCCACACTGCAAACATGGTACAAGAATGCCTCGAGGAACACAAAAACAAGTTGAAGTGATGACTTGGCCTCCAAACTCTCCAGATCTCAATCCAATCGGACATCTGTGGGATGTGCTGGAAAAACAAGTCCGATCCATGGAGGCCGCACCTCACATCTTACAGGACTCAAAGGATCTGCTGCTGACGGCTTTGTGCCAGATACCACAGCATACCTTCAGATACCTTCAGAGGTCTAGTGGAGTCCATGCCCCGATGGGTCAGGAAAAGGGGGACCTACCCAATATTAGAGGGTGATCATATGTCTGATCGTTACATAATGAAAACGTGGTTGGTCGAGAAACCACAAAGCCAAGATACCCAGAATTACTTTAGGTAAATTAGGGGGGCTGTCCTAATAGGGCTGATTTTTGTATACAGTGTGCGCTGTCCTCACACTGCCTGTATACTATATAGCTAAATATACACTGTCATGTGACTTGGATCACCTTCATCGCATCCCCTGTCTGATACCTGATGAAGAGGTAGAAATACTCAGTGTGTGTAAACTTCATTATATAATAGAGTATTGGACCTGCCAGAGAGAATTCCAGCAATAGATTGGGCCTGATAAACTCTTGATGGTGCGTCAGATATTTGGGGCAGGAAACGCGCCTAATAGAGTTTTACCTGTAAGATGCAACTAGTGCAATTTGCTTAGTCACCGATGGGCACCTTTCACACCACTGCTCTGTAGCACAGTAATCCCACGGTCATTGAACCAGGTTTGGGTGCTTTTGGCAGTGTGGGCAGGTGCCAAGTCCTGCTGGAAAATGAAGTCCGCATCCCCATAGAGCTCGTCTGCGGTAGGAAGCATGAAGTGCTCCAAAATCTCCTGGTAGACGGCTGCGTTGACCCTGGACTTAATGAAGCACAGTGGACCAACACCAGCAGATGACATGGCTCCCCTAGAATATTGCACCTTTTCACAATATTCTCATTTTTTGAGGTTGTGGATTTGGGGTTCTTGGGGTTTTCATGAGCTGTAAGCCATAATCATCACAATTATGACAAACCACGGCTTGAATTATCTTGCTTTGCATGTAATGAGTCTATCTCATATATTAGTTTCACCTTTTAAGTGGATTAGTGAAATGAACTTTTGCACGATATTCTAATTATTCGAGTTTCACCTGTATGTTCAGCCCATACATCCCTCTTCCTAAATGTTTCTTTAATTGGTCTTGTCGTTCAGTTACTGTTCTGTGTTATCCTTGGTGTTTCATTGTGTCTGTATTGTTACATGACATCATTGTGTCTATATTGTTACATTATATCGTTGTGTGTATATATTGCTACATTATATCGTTGTGTGTATATATTGCTACATTATATCGTTGTGTGTATATATTGTTACATTATATATATTGTACGTTCCCTGAGTCGGGTGATGGGACCTGGACGTCGTGTGGCTCTTTGTATTGCAGACGCATTGTCTGAGTACACAGTGTCAGTACATGTCGTCTGGCTGTTGTGTGGGTGTACTGAGGGCTCAGCAGATGTCGGTGTGCAGTGTGGGTTGTTCTCTGAATTGTACAAAAGAACAAAAGTTCTTGGTTTAGTTCCTGCCTGAATGTAACAGCCGCCTGGGCGCCCACCACTGGTGGCTTATGGTGACAGCAGATCTAGCAGACATCTGATTAGCCCTTTTCAAGAGTCCCAGTGTCTCTGATTCACCTTTATTGTTACATACACATTGCATACAAGCCGCTCTATCCAGCCTGGACTTCACAGACACACCTTGAATGCTGACATAAGAGATTTCTCAACTTCTGCACGCATTTAGATCCTCCCTGCAATTAGACGTATGGCAAGGCTTTGCTGCATGCCTGGCACCCAGAATCTCTTAACCTGATATTGTGAGGAGAGAAGTTTAGGAGCAGTCTTTGTAAGGTACACGCTGTGGGATATCATGCCGATCCTGGTTCATGTACCTAGCAAGTCGCCAACCTGGAACAAGCAGGCGCTCAGTGAAACGGATATATATATAAAGTTTTGAGGCAGCAGAATATTCTAAAATGAAAGCAAATGAAGATTTGATGGGACCCTAAACCCAATATTTTGTTGGAGGACCATTGGAGGCAATCACTGCAAACAAGTGATTTCTGGAGCTCTGAATGAGACTTCTGCTCCTGCAACAGGTAGATGGCCAACTCGTGAACAAACTGCTCAGCCTGTCCCAGGTTTAAGGCTAGGTTCACCTATCGGCGATCCCGGGACGTGCGTGATCGTGCATGATTGCACACAGCGATTGCCACGCGGCCCCATTGATTTTAATTGGGTTATATCCGCATGGCAATCGCTGAAAAAAGATACATGCACCTCTTTTCGCTAAACTCTCACCGCATGGTTGGTATCGCGGCGGGAAACTGTGCGATCTGCCTGGTGCGACTGGGGTGCCATTACAGAATAGTGGCACCGCCAGCGCATTCGGCGGTGGTGTGCAGTTGTGACCGCACGGTTTCGTGCATTATTGCTGCACAGTAACATATTGACCTAGTGTGAACCTAGCTTAAGGCCTCATTCACACTCCTTAGAGCAGAGAGGATCCATACTGTCTGCGTATGAGTACGGACACCCACGTGGATGTGCAGCTTGGGTGAGCATATGGCCGCGTACTCCCATAGAGAACAGGCTGCTGCATGCAATGACGCAGCACCTGTCCTTCCCAGGAGCGACCCGATACGGCCGTGCACGGATCTGTACGGGCCGGCTCTTTGCAGTGTGAATGAGGCCTAAAGGGTGTCTTATCCAGCTTGCATGCTTCGGCTCTTTCTATAGCTATTCCTTCGGATTCAGGTCAGGACTCATGGAAGGCCTCTTCAGAATAGTCCAGTGTTTTGTTCTTTGCCGTTATTGGGTGCTTTTATTTCTGTATTTCGGGTAATTATCCTGTTGGAGCACCTGTGACTGAGACAGAGCTTTCTCATACTGGGCAGTAAGTGTCACTCCAGAATTCCTTGGCCTTCACACTTTTATTGTGCCCAGTACAGATTGAAGGCTGCCCGTGCCAGATGCAGCAAAGCAGCCCCAAAACCTAACCGAGGTCCTTTTCCCTGGTTTCCTTCCATTGAGCCCAAAAAGTGATGGATGGTGTGATCGGACACTGATGAACTTTGACCTTAGAGTTCAGCTTGGAGAATTCCTCAGGTTATCATCCGGCATCAGACGGGATGGAGAACGTGACCGTGGAGTTCCCTGGCAGTGTTCCTTGGCTCTTTGTCTACCATTCACACTCTCCTTCTGATCAGTCTGGGGACAGTTATCCTCTTGTGGTCACATCCAGGAAGGTTGGCTACGCTGCCATGGACTTTGAACTTCTTAATATCATTTGCAGCTGTAGTCAGAGGAACATCAAGCTGTTTGGATATAGTCCTATGAGCTTTACCTGTGAAGTGCTGATCCATCATTTTTCTTTCTGAACTCTCTCCTTTGCTTTCTCTGGTCTATGATTGGTGTGGTGCACAGGATGATGCCAAATAAGAGTGATGACTTTTCTGTAGGGATGCACCGATACCGGTTTTTCGGTATTGAATACCGATATTTTTTTTGTTACCAATACTGGAGGACCCATTAAGGAAGCCCGGGCAGTGTGTAATGACTTGCCGCTCAGCTTCCTGATTAGCTTGGAAGCCGGCTTCATGCTCCCTTGCCATTTTCCCGACCAATCAGGAAGCCGGGCTGCGAGTCATTGCACGCCGTCCGACTTCCTGATTGGACAGAAGCCAGCTCCATGCTTCCTCTTTACCAAGTGACAGAGCATGGAGTCTGCTTCCCGGCCAATCGGGGAGCTGGGGGGTTTGTAATGTCTCGCCGCCCCTTGGCTTCCTGGTTGGCGAGGGAGAATGGAGCTGACTACCTGGGCAATCAGGAAGCCAGGCAACGTGTAATGACTCGCTGCCTGGCTTTCTGATGCTAGAAGTTCCCTTATCAGGGCAAGCATTGGGAGCGTTTGAGTGAGTATAAGTACCCGCCCAAATGCTCTGTTTCGGTACCATTGCTAGTATGGGTATCGGTGCATCCCTAATTTTCTGATGAAATTGGGACCTTGCATGCTGGGGTGGGGGGCTCTTTGGGTATGCCATATTGCAGTGGTGTGTCCAGTGTTATCTTAGGATCTCTTTTGGGGTGCGGTCTGTTACACGGGATTCCCCGGATCTAGGGCTCCTTGCACTTAAGAGAATTGAAGGGGACATCACTGGCTGGGGACTGAGGTGTTGGCAGACGGAACTATAGAACGACTGTTGGAAAATGCAGACCTTCTGCACACATTTATTCCCTGACTCCCCCCTTCAGCAGCTTTATTCCGCCATTACAAAAATACCCCTGGGGTATTTAATTGGTTCTCCTCATTGGCTGTTCTTCAGCGGTGAGTTCTTTTCTGCTCTCTCCTCCCATGATCATATGGGAAGAAGTTTCAGGTCCTGTTACAGCCATACATCTAAGTGACAGCAGAGGAACCATCACCCCCCCTCCGGCTCATGCATGTTCCGCGATGTACTTTGACCTGTGCACTGTCACTGCTCCATCTATTGTTGACACTTCTTCACTGATTGTGGGAATGGCAAAAACATTTCCTTAAACCCAATAATTTTACTCCGGTGTGAACTCATAGCGAATGTATTATTGATAGATTATACATTCTTATTCATTCAGTTGGCATGGTGATTTCATGGTCTGTTTCTAAATGCTTCCACACAAGATTCACACAGCTTGCTAATTGGATGCAGTGGGGAATATGTGTGAATCTTGTGTGAAAACATTTAGAAATAGACCGGTACTTTCTGATTTTGCTAATAAAATAAGTATTGGCTCCTTTTACACTATCTGATCAGGTGGGGATCTTTGCATGGAGGGGTATGGATCGGATCTCACAGTTGCCTGTCCAATCTTGCGATAGAGGAAAAAACAGAAATGACCGGACCCATGTCTGTCTATGGGGAATCTGATGTATATCATGCGTCCATTTACATCAGATAATCCCCCGATCCGGCGTGAAAACGGTTCCATTCGTTTTTTCCGGAGTTGGGGCAAGTGGTAGTAAACCGATACCAGTCTGTTTAGATCCAGCTGTCCATAGACTTTAATTGAGCATCCGATTGGGTCCTCCTGCAAAACTGACAGTTGGACCTGATTAGATCGCCCATCTGACAGGGGGCCTTAAGGGAACAAGGCCTCAGAGTTGCCCAGCCCCACCTTGGACCGTAACAGGTCAGATGGTTCCCGTTATCAACACGCTGTTGTCATTGATGGAAATTATTAGCAGATTCCTTTTTTTCCTTTGCGATTTTTACTTTGCAAGATGCGTGCTGATGGGAAATAATCGCATATGCTTGGTCATATGGCGATAGATCCTTTGTTGATTGTACAGTCGCAGCCCGTTCGGGGGGGTGGGGATCCTAATAGTCCAATACTTTTTACCTGTAAGGGCTCATTCACACGGGCACAAGGCTGTGCACCAGAAGACCCTGTTCACACTTTGTGATCGTGCGTGGTTTTCCTGTACTGGTAGTGGTGCTCGCAGTGACGATCACGGATGGCACCGTGCAATAAACAGTGCAAAGCAGAAATCACCAGCACTCAGTAAATCTCTTTGATGTCCATTTAATGGGACCAATTGTCATATACAAAATAGCGACGTTTCGGGACCGCACAGGATCCCTTCATCGATAATGTAACAAGTCAGTCTATATCAATACCGTATACTGTATATACTTGTTACATTGTCGATGAAGGGATCCTGTGCGGTCCCGAAACGTCGCTATTTTGTATATGACATGTTGTAACGTGTTGCGTGATTGCGCTTTGAACACGGACCTGAAAATATATTTGTGCGCCCGGAAGTAACAGGTGTTGCATGCAGCCGCGTGTACAAACCAATGACAGGTTGCAGCTGCATGCACTACATAAAAAAAAAAAAAATTGTACCACATCTGCACGGTATTGCGGCACGATTGATTGCATTGCGGGTCGTGAGGTGTAATTAGGGTGCCATTCAAATGAATGGCATCGCAATGCACCTCCCGCACTGTTAACGCACACGATGTGTTAATCGCGCAGGACCGTGCCATTAATGCATCGCAGCTGTGTGAATGGGCCCTAAAGGTGCCCATACACCTTGCAATCATCGGGCGCAAATTTTCGTCAGATGATCGAACCGTTTTTGTATGGCGGCCCCATCCTGCCCTGACCATCGCACAGTTCAATTAGCGGTCTTTAGCAGAGATCACCTGGATGAATTTCGTTAATCGACCGCACGGATTTTCGTTTGCGCATGAGCAGTGTTAATTGTACGAATTTTGACGTACGGAAACGCCACCAACCTTGCGAAAATGGTACGATCGGCTGAAGTTTTCTAACCTGCTGGAAAGACAAAAGTCTGTATTTGCGGTTGTACACTCCCCATCAACCTTACGAATATTGGACGAAAACGCGATCACAAACGAAATTCGGCCGATATTCGTAAGGTGTATGGGCACCTTTAATACTCGCGATCCTGTGGTGGTTTTTTTTTTTTTTTCTCAGGCTTTGTTTTTTAATTTAAAAGGTCATTTTGTATGAACATAAAACTAGGTCAGTCCAGCCACGGGCTCTCTCCTCCTGACGTTCAGTTTTCTAATCATCTTTTTATCAGATGTATATTTAAAGTGACACGAAACTCCGGAGTTAAATGTAAAACTACATCCAAGTACCTTCACTATTAACAGAAATGTATCTTATTTGTGTAACACTCGGCTGTAGATCCTCCAATCATCTCTGAATTGGTGCTGACACTGTCCTTCCTTCTGGAGGGTGGCTACTTCTGTTCCCCATGGTCACTGTGTGTGTTGTAAAGTGGTCACCGTTCCAAGCTCACTCCTGTGATGGACTACAATCTCATATTTAGTTCACTAAGCTGTATTGGAATTACAGTCCATCACACAGGGATTACAACACACACAGGGATCATGGGGAACAAAAGTAGCCCCCCTCCAGAAGGAAGGACAGTGTCAGCTCCAATTCAGAGATGATTGGAGGATCTACAGCCGAGTGGTACACAAATAAGATACATCTTGGTAATAGTTAGCCCTCATTCTCACTAGAAAAGGCCGGCATGTACAGCTCCGTGCTGCGTGCGACGGCCGTATCGGGCAGCTCCCGGGAAGGACAGGTGCTGCGTGTGATTAGTACGCCGCCCTGCGTCCGAGCCAGGAAACACGCACCCGTACTGACCTGCAAATTTGGTGAGCGTAGGGCGGCGTATGGCCCCGTACTCCCATAGAGAAAGACAGGAGCTGCGTACTAATCACACGCAGCACCTGTCCTGGTCTGCAGACGTGGTGCTATGCGTTTTTGACGCGTTCCTGTGGAGTTGGGCTGCCAGTATGTTAGCTGCAGTGCAGTGCGTTTTTGATGCGTTTTTCATTTCCGGACCAGGCAAAATGTGACATGCAATATTTTCTCTGTCCGGACCGGACCCATAAAACACACAGGGATACATTGGGATGCATTTTGGGTGCATGAGCGCACGGATATGGTCCGGACAGAATCCAGACGTCGTGTGAACAAGCCATAAAGGTGCTTGAATGCATTTTAAGATTTAACTCCTGAGGTTAGTGTCACTTTAAGGGCTCTGTGGGGTACAGAAGTTGGGGCGTGCAATGCATTGCTTGCTATATGTTGCTGGTTGTACATATCTGAAGTCGGCTCATGTTACAGGCGTGTAATGCAGGCGCACCGTGAAGGTTCATCTGGGGGCAGCACGTAACCCTCGTCCTCGGATGTAAACAAAGAGCCAGCTGGTGAGCAGAGTGGAGCAGTCCCAGTTCTTGGTCTCTGATTCGTCTCTGATCTGTGCAGATTTAGTTCTGTGACAGTAGCAGGAAAACAGCTTCCTCCAATCAGATATGGACTTTAAACCGTCCTTAAACGTTGGTGTCATTTTACATGGCGAGTGAATTCGAGCTGCTGGCTGCAGGTTTATGACCGTCTGTCTTTTCTGGATAGTGGATTGTGTGTATGAAATAGATTCATCCATTTTAACTTTTTCTTTTCAAACACCAGCCCTCCAGCGGTTGTGCACCGACAAATCCCACGAGGCATTGCAAGATTCTGACAGCCACAGACATTACTCCCAGAGGCAGATGCATGTTGGGAATTGTAGTTCCACAGCAGCTGGAGGGCTGACAATTGCCTCCCCCTGATCTAAGGGAACCTGTTGCTTTACCCCTGGTGATGGAGTGACAGTCATGCACAGAGAAATGAGACATTGTAAATGGCTGGATCCGGTGAGATCTCCTCCTATGGGTAGTAATCCCTGTGAGCAGATGTTTCAGGCACAATCTGAGCCGGCCTCTCTGGAATGACTGTAGGGCTCTTCATTCTACAGGACTTGTGAAGTCTTGCTCTTCCAGGTATGCAGATGAACTTCACCTCTTGGCAATGTCAGTCACCGGAGTGAGCGTGAATCCTGGATTCCCTGTGAGCAAAGAACATTTTAATTCTCTAAAACAGTGACCAGGTAGCCAATGCTGCTTAAAAATGAGCCGCGCCCACATTTCGGCTCTTTAGTTGTTGTCAATGGAGCTGGCTGTTAGGCTCTGTTCACACCAGGGCGTGTCAAAAGTGCTCAAACATGCACGCTTCGACCTGCGTTGACGATATGTGCACATTACTAGGTAATGGCACTCCAAACGCAGCGGAGCAAAAGTTTGTGTCCACACACGTGAGACCGTGCACAAATGAATGGGGAAATAAAACTTAGAACGCATGTTGTCAAATTTGTGGCGGATTTCTGTTCCGCAGTTGGGGCGCATCGAGGGACACGCACAAATCCCGTTACCTTCTAAAGTAGAAAAACTCTTGCTGGCTCCTGGATTGGACAGACGGGCGTCTGAATTTAACATTCATTTGTCCACCCCTGCTCTAAAGCAAATGGAGTTGATGCGCGAGAGGCAGATGTAAACGCATCTGTGTTGTCCTCTATATGTATATTGTGATGTACATGGTTAGTAAATGCACCTTTAGTGTCTATTCACACCACATGCATTGGGTCTGCGCTGGAAACAACTAAGACTAGGCAATTTGCCTTGTCACAGATGGACATGTTTCACACCACCATGTTGCAGTGGAAACGTGGCGGTGTGCACTGAAAATAAGCACAGCATGCCTTACTTTTTTTTTTTTTCTCCAGCACAGCGTAATGCGACCTGGAACAAACATCTCGCACCCTGTTGTGCCTGTGGAACTGAATGAAGTGTCATTTGTTACATTTTAATAAAGTCCCAAAAGTGCAATGTGTTGGGATTGGTGCATTGGCACTGTCGGGCACCGCATGCCAGCCGCTGTGCGTTTTGAGCAGCTGCTGGTGTAACTTGGCCCATTCACATCTGATCGGTCTGGCGTGCGTTTTGCAGAGTGACGCCGCTTAAAGCTGGCTATACACTTATAAACTATCTTCATGTTTTCTATGGTCAGATGGAAAAAGTGCAACAGATTCCTCCATCTATGCTAAACTGTGTGGATGGAGGAATCT